CCATCAGGCTGTATTTCTACCCCATCCAGCTGCACTGCTGCCCCATCAGGCTGTATTTCTACCCCATCCAGCTGCACTGCTGCCCCACCAGGCTCCATTCCTACCCCACCTGGCTGCATGGTTGTCCTGTCAGGCTGTATTTCTACCCCATCCAGCTGTACTGCTGCTCTGTCAGGCTGTATTTTTGCCGAGCAGGGCTGTCGTTTTTCAGGCTGTACTTTTTCACTCACACACTTGAGCTGCCGTCCTCACCCTGCAATAAAACCAAAGCAAGTGGTGACGGTGTCAGAGAACAGCAACACAGGACGCACCGCGTTCTGCAGCTCAGGGAAGACAAGGGACAGAAAATGCTTTTGTAAGGTTTTATGGTTGGACTCCAGCAGCGAGGAGGAGCCCCGCTCGGCCTCAGCGATGCGGCGAGCGCAGCGTAGGGACGGGCGCTGCTCACCCCGGGGCAGCCGAGCTGACTGCGTGTCACATCGAGGAGCTGCGTGGGGAAAACCAAAGCGCCGCGCGCACAGGACAGATTGCATTGCACTCAGTGAATCCCCAGAGAAAAAACACACGTTGGCCGAGGGGAAAACGTGCAGGCGGAAGTGTTTGGATTAGGAACAGAGCGCCAGCAGTCCCACGTCCACCACCTCTTCTCCAAAGCTGCTCCTCCAACCCAAAGCTGAGGGAGCAGGCGGAGGCGTGTTGGTGTACAGCCGATGCGCGGTCGTCCCGGCGCACAGCGCTGCCCCCATCGCCTGAAGGCAGGGCTCGGGTCAGAACGGGGAAAGGAAAACAGCAGACGAGGGTTTCTAAACTGAGAACAGCCCAGCGGTTTATTTACAGTCGTACAAAACGTCACCTGGCGCCGCGGGGTCGAGTCCGACGCCGTGCCTGGATGGAACGCAACGCTAAGAAGGCGTGGGGGGAACGGAGGGGCCGCGTGCGGCACCGATGGTTTGGGCTGCAAACGGAGCTGTGCGGCGCCGACGGCCGCAGTGCGACACGCGGCGCTGGAGGCAGGCTGCGCCCACGCTCCTCCCGGCGCGCCGCGGGAGCTGCTCAAACCGTGAATGAAAAACCTTCTAAAAACTCAGAAACAACAAAAAGGCGGCTAAAAAAAAAATCAACAACCCAAAAACAACCGTCCGTGCCCTCGGGGGGCCGCGAGAAGGGGGGGTCCGGCGCAGGCCGGGGGGCGGCTCAGGGCACGCTACAGGCGGCGCTGGTAGCCCGAGTGCACGCGGGCCGCGGGCAGGTAATCGCCGTAGGCACCCGAGTAGCGGGCGTAATCGGCGTGCGCGTCTGGCAGGCGGCGGTAATCCATCGGGGACTTTGTTGGCGAGCGGCGGTACGCGAGCGGGGAGTCCGCTAAGCGGCGGTAATCTGAGAGCTCAGAGAGACGGCGGTCTGAATTGTACCTGGGCGAGAGAAGAGAGACGTGGTGTGAAGGCGGAGCGGCGGCGCGGGCACCTGCGTTGTGGCGCGGCGCGGGGACGCGGGGAGCGCTCGGTGAACAAGCCAAGCCGAACTCGTCCCCACCCCGTTCCGGGGGTGAACCGTGAGCCCGCAGCGGCGCGCGGCACGGCCGCGACCCGGCGCCGACGGCTGTCGCGGCACGGAGCGACGCAGCAGACGGACAGACGGACAGCCGGCCCGTCCCCCGGCACCGAAAGCCCCCCGGTATCCAGCACAGAGAAGCAAGGGGAGGGAGGAGGGGAAGAAGACGCCGCCGCAGGTGGGCTACGCGCGAGCCGCCGGCCGGGCTCCATACCTTTTTGCCAGAGCGGAGGATTTTTTGTACGGATCGTCATAGCCGGCACTGCGAGGCGGGGAGAGGCGGGTGCGCTCGTAGGGCGGTGCGACGGCGGCGGCGGCGGCCTGCGAGAGGCCCAGGTAGGAGGCAGCCTGCTGCCCCAGCTGGCTCGGCCCGTCGTAGGCGCTGCCCGGCTGGGCTCTGTAGGCGGCCACCAGCGACGCGGAGGAGGCCTGCTGCGCCGGGTAGGAGGCCGCCATCGAGTTGGAGGCCTGGGCTCGGTAGGCCGCCGTCAGCGGGACGGAAGCCTGTGCCTTGTAGGAGGCGGCGGCCTGGCTGCCGTAGGAGGCCGCCAGCGAGGAGGCCGCCGGTGCGCCGTAGGTGGCAGACAGCGCGGCGGCCTGGCTGCCGTAGGAGGCGGGCAGGTTGGCGGCGGGCTGAGCGCCGTAGGATGCCGAGTGGCCAGCGGTCGGCTGCGCGCCATAGGAGGCCGAGAGCGCGGCGGCCACCGGCTGGGTGCCGTAGGAGGCCGAGTGGCCGGCCACCGGCTGGGCGCCGTAGGCGGTGGCGTGACCGGCTACCGGCTGTGCGCCATAGGAGCTGGCGTGAGCCGCCACCGGCTGGGCACCGTAGGAGGCGGGCAGCGTGGCGCCAGGCTGTGCGCCGTAGGAGGCGGCGTGGCCATCGACGGGCTGCACGCCGTAGCCGGTAGGCTGTGCGCCGTAGGAGGCCACGTGCGTGGCTACCGACTGCACGCCATACGAGGCGGTGGGGCCGGCGGCGGCCTGCACACCGTAGGCGGCGGCGGCGGCGGCCTGGGCACCGTAGGCGGCGGAGTAGCCAGTGGCAGCCTGCGCCCCGTACGAGGAGGCGAGGGCCGAGGACTGCAGGCCGTAGCCGGAGAGCTGGGAGGCGGCGGGCTGCGCGCCGTAGGAGGCGGCGGCGGGCTGGGCACCGTAGGAGGCGAGGGAGCCGGCGGCGGGCTGCGAGGCGCCCAGGGAGACGGCGGCCTGCGAGCGGTACGCGGCGCCCAGCGAGGCCGAGGGCTGCGCGCGGTAGGCGGCGGCCTGGCCGGTGGTGGGCTGCGGGCGGTACGCCACGCCCAGAGAGGCCGAGGGCTGCGCGCGGTAGGCGGCCCCCAGCGAGGCCGAGGGCTGGGCACGGTAAGCGGCCGGTTGCGCCGTCACCGGGAGCGTGGCCGCCGAGTAGCCGGCGCGGCTCGGGGAGCGCCGCAGGGGGCTGCGGTCCCGGCCAAAGTAGGTGGGGGACGAGGGCCGGGGCTGCGCGTCGAAGCCGTCGTACTTGGCGGCCGTGCCGAAGCGCTGCTGGTAATCGTACAGGGAGGAGGAGGAGGCGGCAGCGTAGCCGGCGGCGGCCGAGGGGAAGGTGGAGTCCGCGAGCCGGCGCTGCTCGAAGCCCTCAATCTTGGGCTGGAACTTCTCCCTGTACTCCAGGCCTATCCGCTTGTTCTTGTCCACCACGACGCCGGCCGGCACCGCCAGACCCGCTCCCTTTTTCTGCACATTGGTCGAGAGCTCCACATTGACTCTTCTTCCTTTCACCTCCTTCCCATTAAGATTTTCGATGGCAACTTTTGCATCTGCTTCGTTCTCCATGTGAACAAATGCATAGTCTGATAAAGCAGCAGACAGAGGTTATCAGTGGGGGAGAAAAGACATTTCGTTACAGGCTTGAAGGCTTAACGAGGCGCGCCGCCCGGCTCTACCCTACGCACTCGGTAACGAACGACGGCGGCCCCACGACCTCAGCTCCAGCCGCGCTCCGGCCCCCCCCCACGGTGCCCCTTTGCGAGACCCCAGGCTCACAAACCCCCCCCCCCCAGACCCCCAAAGCTCGGGGGCAGCACTGCAGGGGCTCGGGAAGCTCCGAGCTCGCACTCAGACGCCAAGCTTCGAGGCCGTTAATTAGCATCGTTAGGTTAAACGAAGGAGCTCAGGCCCTGCGCCCCGTGATGCTCCCAGCCCCGTGGTGCCCTCACACACCGCCACGCTCTCAGCCCCCCGCCCCCCGTGCAAGCGAGAAGGAGGGAGCGGGGCCGGCGCGGCGAGAAGACGCTGAGCAAACGAGCAGCGCGGTAACGAGAGTCGTTAACGAAGCAGAGACGTCAGACAGGAGTTAGAAGAGGGGCGGGAGGACGCGGTGGTGGGGGCAGCGGTGAGGCGGGCTCTGACCCCGCGCCACGACGGGTCCGGGCTCCTCAGCGCCGTCCGGAGCCCAGGAACCCAACAGCACACGGTCAGAGCGCGGCAGGGACGGCGCGGCCAACGCGTGCAGCCCAAACCTAGGGCCTGCTGAGCACCAACGCGGTGACCGCGCTCGTTAGCTCGCTCATTAGCTCGCTCGTTAGCTCGCCCTGCTCCTTCCTGCACGATGAGCACCTCAAAGCAGCGCGCGACCCCACAGGGGTGGCACCAACAGCCCCAAATGTTCACAAGTTGCCCCAAATCCGCACTCCCCCCCCCTTCCCTTCCTCTGCCACAAAGACCCACAGGCAGCCCCACAGGCAGCCCCACAGGCAGCCCCACAGGCAGCCCC